TACAACCTTACAATTAAAAGAAAACCAAAACAAAAAAGAAAAAAACCAAAAGAAAAAAAAAGTGAATGAAAAAATGAAGTAGTGCAAAAATTACAAGAAAGAAAAACCTGAACATCCATTATTAATTCCGGATGTTTTGATCCATAAACGATATTATTTCTTATTGTTGTTGAAAACAAAATTGGTTCCTGGAACATCTGTTGTTTCCAAAAAAAGAAAAAATCTCAGTAGTATTTCAACAGAAATTCGTTTAGAACTTATAACTACTCATGCCGTTGTGTTGAAAGAAAACCTGTGCTACAGTGCCGATTTGTTGTCGCCAGAAGGATGGATCTATTGATTTTAAATCGATATTATCGATCAAAATATGCCCAGAATTAGAATCAAACAACCTAAAATTCTACTTTAAGATATTTAACTTGGGATATTACTAGATTTAAAAATCATAGATTTCCGCTGCTCATTCTGCAGTTAATTATCAGGTTATGCCTATATGCAGTATGATATAATTGAACCTTAGTATAAGATTAGCAATTGTGCTTTTCCCAGAACCAGAAGATCCCACTACTGCAGTGGTTTTGCCAGCTGGTATGTGAAAAGAAAGGTCTGTAAACAAAAGCGATCGATTTGGGTAACCGAAACTGACGTTTTTGAAAGTAATACCATTAGTGATACTCTTTTTCAATAGACCACCTGAAAGTAACGTTAGATTTTCAAGCGATCTTTGACAATTACTACAAAAATTACATAGATCACATCTTACTCCTGGCAACTGATTTTTGGATAAAATCTTTTAACAATAAACATAACTGATTAAACTGTTTGTTACGGTACTAAAACTTGCTCACCTCTTACTGGTACTTCAGGAACTCGGTTACGAAGCTCAAATAATCTCGCACTGGCACCTAGGCCTTTCATAAGCTCTGTATAAAAGTTGACCATTCCAGGAAGACTAATAGCGCATAAACTCGCATACCAAATAAATGCCAGAAGATCACCTGAAATTTATTCCTCAAGTCCTATGTTACAAAGTCCTATATTACATTTTTTTCGTAGTCTTATATTACATACCAAATTTGATATACATTTGGCTTCCTCTCATCTCCCGCCAAATTCAAGCTTCCTCTCATCTCCCGCCAAATTCAAGCTTCCTCTCATCTCCTGTCAAATAGGAACAAAAACAATGTAAATAAATTAACCATATTTCAATGTCCCGACATTCATTAACTGTCCACCGTAATATACAATTGTATAAAGAGAAGCAAGTATCGCAATTTCGTGCTGAAATAAACTCCATATATGCGGATTTGAACTCTTAATCTACAATAGACTTAGTCACCAAAATAAGAGCGCCATAAATTTTCATTTTCACATAACCTATACCAGGGCTATCATGCAACCTGCTGCACGGCCTTCACGACGAGAAACAATCCAAAGCTGATGAATTCTTTTCTTGTACGTTTCACATTCCTTCAACTCAGAAACCAAGGTTCGTACTGTTACGATATTTGAAAATTTTTCTGTAGCAACCTCAAATAAAGGATAAATATGCATTTGATTTCCACCGGAAGCCAAATTTAAAAGCAGATGCAAATGGAAATCAGCTGCAAACGATGTAAATGGAGATTTTTAATCTCATCAAATTTTTGAGGTTCTTCAGCTCGTTGTAATTATCATTTGAATCTTTCTGCAGCTAATTTAGCAAACTACACACCACAGGTATGAGACGGCAAAATAGAAAATGTGGTAGGAGACTAAAAATCTCGTAATAATACCTCATTGGATGCAGCAACTGCTTCCTGCATTTGTAACGTATATTTCCTTTGTAGATTACCGAAACAATACCCTGAGGTTATGATTGCCGCCGTAAGGCACGTGACTACTTCAGACAACTCCCGCGACGTATATACCTATCCTGGTAAATACATTCAAAGCAAATCAAACAATAAAACGCTTTGTTTTAAAAACACCACTGGTTCAGAAAAAAAATTGAATACAGATCTCTAGATTCTGAATTTTTAGATGGTAACGATCTGTTGACTGCTTCAGTCGTCTCTGCGAATAAAGAGTAAAAAAAAAATTCGTAGTGTATTGAACATACGCCGCCATCGAATGATATTTTACTCTGCTGAATGGGAAATTGACAGCGCAATGTTAAATAAATAACTACTGATTACAGTGGTGGGTGAAACGTACCATAATAGCAGCAGAACCGAAGAAAGACATAAAAGCACGTGCGCCGACAGTTAAATTTGATGAAACCGATTGACCCACAATTAACGCATCAGTTGAAAGGCGGCTTACAATCTCGCCAACTTTATTTTTGCTAAAGAAATTCATATCCTGATGAATAACTGATTTGAACACTGCCTGTCTCAAATTATTGATAATGATCTGACCTGGAATTTGCATGAACATATGTTTTTATAATTCGAAATAAATGATGTCGAGGAATATAACTGTTCCCTTAAAATTTTACTTGCATTCTCTGCATTCGCTGTCTGAATTAGGTAATCCTATCAAGTACTATTCATCCCAGTGTTATTCCAGTATTATCCATCTCGAAATTTGCTTACACTTTCTACCTGATCATTGGGAATGAAAACCCCAAACCTACATCTCTGCAAAAGAAATCGATAATACCTAATAAATCTTACATACACCAACTTTTTAAGGGCTTTTTCTATCGGCTTCGTTATCCAAAGTTGTGATAAAATGAACGCTTTCTGATGTCTTGTTTACACCAACATATGTGAAATTAAACTAAAACTAGACATTGGGAAATTCAGAGGATTTATAGATAGTCGTAATGC